CAACATACCTTGCTTCATCTAGAACAGTGGGAGGCAAACTCTCATTTTTCATAGCACGCATAGGGTCGGAAATTTGCCTCATTTGACACCCCAAACTCTAAAAAAAAAAATGTTTTCACTGACAACAATTTTCTCAGGAATTTGGCTGCAACAAGTTCTTTTTTAGAAACAAGAAAGGAAAGCTATGTTCGGACGGAGCCGAAGTTGATATACCCTTGCAGTTAAAACCGGATATATATCGCAAACATCGGATATAGTTGGCCGATCCTTATGAGGATATCATAATAAAACCAATTAAGGGGAGGTTCTTTTGGATTTTTTTGAAAAAATCGGTTTCTTTTTTGTTAATAAATTGAAAGTTACATATGTGTAGGATATACGTGCCAAGGGATATTTCGATACGACGCGTATTTCTTGAGCTAGAGCGTGTCAAACATACCCATGATAACAAGAAAGCTATCTCATGGCAAAGTTTCTAAAAACTTTAATCGCGTTTTTCTCGGAACCATGTTTTTAAACCTCTTGTCGCGCACAGAGATGATCCGATTTCCTTCATTCAAAAAATGTTTAAAAGTACATACTTTTTTGTATGTCTTATACCTAAAATTGGCATAAAAAATTGTTTATTTATAATTTTTAAACGAGATCAAAGTAAAAAAAAGAGAAAAAATGTCAATTTTTTTTTAAACGTCCATGAAATTGGTTTATTTTTACCAAAATTAATTGTCGTTAGGTATAAGGCATAGGAAATTCCATCAATTTTAATAAATTATATACATTTCTAATTTCCGTTCACTACCAGCGGACCGACACTAGACAAAGCAGAAAAATAGAGGTCGACGAGATCCGCCATTTTGAATTTCCTGAATATTGAATATTTTTTTTAATCGTTAATAAACAACGAATCAAAAGTTCGAAAGCATAAGTTCGTATGTCTTTTCATTTTCCCGCAATCCAATCTCAAAGTTTGCTTAATTTTCGAAGAAATCCAAAAGAACCTCCCCTTAATTACAATAAAATATCTAAAAAAAAAAGTGCCATCAAAAAAAGTCTATTCCAAAAATTTTTTTTTTGATATATATCCGGTTTTAACTGCAAGGGTATATCAACTTCGGCTCCGCCCGAAGTTAGCTTTCCTTTCTTGTTATAATATAAAATGAAATATTTTAGTACCCATTCAAACTTTTAAATTAACGAAAAACGAAATAAAAATCTACGTCTCTACAAATTTTAAACAGGTGTGCGTTTTGCCCGCCACTGGTCTAGAAACTACAAACCTTGAAGAAGAAAAGAACGGACAGGCAGCGATGTTTCGAGCTCTGGTGGAATGAGGGTCGCAGAATTGAGTGATCACCAATTTTATCATCGAACGACTAGCATGAACGTTATCGATAAAACGCCGCGGTACCAAGCTTCGAATCGAAGGCTTTGGTGGACAACCAAGGATGAGCAAAGAGCGTGGTAAGAAGCGTGGAGCGTGGAGCGTGGAGCTGAAGCGTGGTAAGAATCTGGGCCAGTTCTTGATAGTGGCCGGGATCCAGATTCTCACTCGGGCCCTGCAGGGGACAGGGAACACAATAAGTTTGGCGCCCTCGTAGATCTCGCCAAGCTCCTCTACCGCAGTTTTTTAGAGCTCGGCGGATGGTTTGTCGTCGCACGCCACCAACTTTACGCTGCCCTGGAACCATCCCAGGTCTTTACAGACTTAGGCTGCAAACATAGTGCGCGCTGAGACGAAGATGAAGACGAAGCTGAAGATGAATTCCTTGCGATGCGAGTAAGCTAATAGGTTACATAGTGCAAGACGAATTTGTTGCGATTTTGTGATGTTAGTCGCAATGGATTTCTCTTCAGATGATGAGCTACTGTTAGAGGAAAGTTTATTTTTAAAATTAAATCGAAAGAAAACAGTGAATGGAGGAATTCACCCAATTAATTTGGGAAGAAAAGTATTCGGCGAATTTCATCATTTATTTAATGAGCTGCGACAAGATGAAAAAAAATTTGTGAAGTATACTAGAATGAAAATCAGCACATTTGATTACATTCTGTTAAAAATTGAACCGCAAATTATTAAAAATTGGACAAATTTTAATAAAACCACAATTATACCTGCAGAATGGTTAATTGTAACGTTAAGGTAAAAAATTATTCAAAAATTTTTTTGTTTTCATTCATTTTAATCATTTTAAATTTTCATTCAGTTACATTTTTTATATTTTTCTTAATTTGAAAATGTAATAATGTTTTCTGATGAAACGTATTGGTTCGGCACCTGTGGGGATAAAGCATTATCAGAATATTGGGTTGACGAAGATTCAAATTCAGTTGATGATGGTACAGATATGTTAGAAGCTGGGTTTTGAATATTTTGAAATTGAAAAGAGCTTCCCACATTGTATGCATAGTTATAAACAGATTTCTGCATGTCCATGTCCATAGGGCGAATTTCTAAATCTTAGAGATAATTTTATTTTGAGTGTAGGCTGCAGGGGATCGGTTTTAGACCATGCTGTTTGACTCGTATTTCATTGGTCCGATCCCTTGAAACTCTAACTTAAGAACTTGTATATAAAATAGTGTTCAATGCTTGAACATCAGCAGTGTCTTTTTTTTTTAATAAATTGAAATAGTTTATAGGTAATTATATTTTTTGGTGAGACCGGGTTTTTCCGGGTGTTCCCATCTGTGCAGATGTTTGTTAACGCGTGCTAGCCGGCGAAGTGAAAAAATCCCGATAGGAAAATAGGCAGACCCTTACACAGTTTTACATTTTCACCATTAAAGATTGTGATGTAACCCTCCTCCGGTTCGAAAATCCTGCATAAAAGTTCTACATCCTTTGTTTCGCAATTCGCTTCCTTTTCGCTGATCAGTTTCTTGATACAATTCTCGTTAGCTTGGCTTACAATTTTATTATTCCTACATGTATATAAATTTATAAATCTAAATAAATTTTAATTCTAAAAATTCATACATGTGTTTCTCGGACATTATTTGTATGCCTTGCTCTTCTAGCTCTTGCTCTTCTCTTGCACAAACTTCGCTGCTTCCCTCTTGTCAAATATAAATTTCGAGATCACACCCACCTTTGCTAGAGACAAGCTTTCTGTAGTATCGTTTAGATTTAATCCCCATACAAGTTCTTGTAACTTTTTTTATTTTTTTTATTTATGAATTTGGTAATTCTGGCTTGTTCCTCATTAATGTATTTTGTTAGATTTTTGAACATTATATTGATCTTACTACCTGTCTTTTCCTGAGAGCTTATCTTTTTTCTTCTTCCTGCATTCTCCTTATCTCCGCTTCTAGCCTTTCCGTGTCTTATAGATTTCTAGATTCTTCTAGTCTAGATTCTCTGTTATCGATTTGACGACTGAACCTAATCCGTTTATTAATCCTCTCGTTCTCCTACTCTTTGAGCATATCGCTTCCAATCTTGTCATCATCATTTGTAATTTGTTTTGAAATGCTCTCACCAGATGCTTTGTTTGTGTATCCTCAACTATGTCCCTGAGAGTTTGCTCCATGCCTTCTACTGATTCTTGATATTTCTATAGTGTAACTATGTGTATAAATCTTTTGTGCGTTTGTATTATTCTCGCCGAGCTCAAGTTGGTCTGCCCCATCGGCTCGTCTCCCTTCAATGGCCGGATCTCGAAGTTTCTTCCCGTGGCAATGGTCCTTAATCACCTGTAATTATTTATTTATTTGGTCTGGTTAATCTTTTTTTCCTTGTGAATCTTCTGTTGTATAGTTGACATTAATGCCAACACATTGTCTTCCTTCACCTTGTGTTTTAAAAAACGAGGGGTAATCTTATCCCTCTTGTTCTCTTTCCTAAATATCGTCTCCCTGGCTGTAATGGATTTGGTTCCTGTCTATTTGCATTCGCTGATTGAATTTTTTTGGTCTTCTGTTGTTCTACCCTTTTCTTGATTTTCGGGTATAGTTTCGCTTTGATCTTTTGCAGTACTTCCTCATGTCAGATTTTCATTTTTAAGCCTGTATATTTGCTTAATCGTATTTCCCCAACTACTGCTGAAAAGATGTTCCAAATTGTTGAAGAGGTTTGACGAGAATTCTAATCCCTGATCAAAAACTATCTTTTTGGGTATTCGGAATAAAGCAATGAAACTTTTTACTGCCTTTATTATATTTACGATTTCTTTTTCTGGAATCCGTAATCCCCACGCGTATCTCGAGAATTTGACTATTATGGTTAGAACATTTTTCCGTTAGAACATCTCCGTCAGAATGTACTGTTTATCTAATTTGGTCTCCTATAGTACTTTTGAATTTGGCAACTGTCACAATTATTTATTATTTGTGTAACTGCCTGTTTGTGAAGCTGTCGGTAAAGCTGTCGACGAAGTCGATGGTATTATCTCCGATTGTGTTGTTGTTTGTGTTGGAGTTGTTGATCCGCATAGCTTTCGATTTTGATGCGTTGATCTTTAAGCCTACTGTGATGGCTCAGACCTCGAGGTCCCTAGCTTTGGCTTGAATGTCTTCGAATTTGTGAGCCAAGAGACATATGTCATCCGCGTAATCCAAGTCTTCTAGATGTCGGGTGAAGTTCCAGGTGATTCCGCGTCTGTTCATCTGTTGAACAGAAGTGGTGATAGAGGACATCCTTGCTTGACGCCTGTGTTCGTCTGAAAGAGTGCACTAATTTTCCCGTTGTGCAGTACCGCCAGCTCAGCATCATCATACATAGCTTTCACTATGTTTATGATTTTCACTGGCACTCCTTAGTTGTTGCAGTCACTGAGGTCTCCTTTCTTCGGTAGCTTAATGATGATTCCCATATATTATTGAAATGTGGATGCAGTGTTTCGGCCATTAGTTGCGTGTTAATCTGGAGAAGTTCGTCCGGTATGCCGTCATCTCCAGCCGCTTTGTTGCGTTTTAATTTCCTGATTGCATCCTTTATTTCTCTAATTGATGGTGCCGTGGGTGATATTCTGAGGTTATTGCTCGGTACAATACTCCTGAAGTTATCTTGCGTGCTGCTCGGTTGTTCTGTGCAGCTGATCTCCATAAAGTGACAGCACTTCTGTCACTCCAGAAGGCCACCTCTGGAGTTGTGCCTCATCATCAGTAAGGAGTCTTCCATCTGGGTCCCGCACTGGTTGGGTTCGCCTATGGCAGCTTCCGGTCAGTTGACTAATTATCTGGTACAGTGAGCGGATATTGTTCGAGTTGGCTGCGCTTTCTGCATTTTCAGCGAGCCTGTCCAGAAATTTTCTTTTGTTGTTTCTTGCTGACTTCTTCACCATCTTGCACAGCTCTTTGTGTTCGTCGCGAGCTCTGCAGTCATGATCTGCTTTCGACTTTTGGCTGTTCCGTTTGCTGATAAGTTCCCAAGTGTGCGCTGATATCCAATCCGTGCGCCTGCGTTGTCGGGTGCCAAGCATCTCCTCCGCGGTGCTCCTCAGTATACTGCATGTTTGTTCCCATGAGTGATTCAACGGTTGTGTTGTCATCTGTTCACGCAACGTTGTGGCCATTCTGGTGGATAGGTTGGAGTCACTCAGCCGTTGTACGTTAATGGAAGGCGGTCTTATTGTGGTCCTGTTGACAGTGTGGCTGAGCTTGATTAAAAGCTCTCCGATTATCAGCTCGTGGTCACTGTCGATAGTCGCGCTTCTCCTATTCCTAACATCCATCATCGAGCGTCTCCATTTCCTACTTATGCAGATGTGGTCGATTTGGTTGCGAGTATGTCCATTCGGAGAGGTCCATGTGAATTTATGGATTTCCTTGTGGGGGAATACAGTGCCACCAATAACCAGTTGGTCTGACATAAGTCGATTAGCCTGTCTCCATTATTGCTGCGTGTGCCAACACCATGTCGGCCCATGAATGTTTCCAATCCGTTGTTGTTGGGCCGATTTTCGCATTGAAGTCTCCCATGAGAATTTTTATGTCACCTCTTTCGATCCTAGTGAGTGAGGATGTGAGGGCGTTGTAGAAGTCGTCTTTGATTTTATCGCTGGCGTCTTTTGTTGGGGCATAGCCTTGCACGATGGTGATATGTCTAGCATTGCATCGGAATCTGGCAATGATGATTCTGTCGGATACTGGGCTCCAGGAAATTAGTGCCTGTTTGTACTGTTTGGACACATATATCCCGACTCCGCTCCTGCCTCCATCATTGGTCTCGCTGTCCATCACTAGATTGCCGCTTGATGTTGTTGTTGTCCCGTTACCTCTCCATCTCACATCACTGATTCCTGCGATTGCGATCTGCATTTTCTCCATTTCTCCTTCAAACTGCGCCAGTCTTGTTGGTTCCATTAAAGTCCTCACGTTCCATTTTTCAATTCGTGTCCGTTTCGATATGCGAATGGTCGTCAACGGGTTGGGAGGGTGGTTGGTTTCTTCTCTTCTTGTATTAGTTTCGTTAATCAATTGTTTTTCAGTTGATCCGGTGATTACCCAGGTGGAACCTATTCCAGAGGTTGGGCCGCCACCTGTCGGTATTTGGGAATACCGTTTTTCGACCTCACATGTTTAGTAGCATCGGAAAAGAGACCACTAAGCATAATGAAGCCGAAAAACTTTGGAGGTCATGATTGCCATGAGTGGGGTTCGAACCCACGACCCAACGCCCCCCAGCAACATTTCTTAAGCAAATGAAAAAAAACTACGCTTCCCTATCTATATTCTCCATGAAGAAAACTTTTTCCAACCCAATTTTTGAACAAAATTTTTCTCAGTGGAAACATTTTGATTTTTAAGTTTGGGCTGTCAAATTTGTCAAAATGGGAGCAATTGAGAGAGCTTCTAAAAAAAAATTGAGAGTGCTCACACTGTCAGTGTGCCGGCAGCGCTGCGGCAGAATTTCCTACCCTATACTCGCGTGCTATGTAAAATGAGAGTTTGCCCACCACGGCTGTATAACCCCTTAAATATTATATTCATTCAGTGGTTTTTCTTATATCGGGAATCCCAGTTGCAGGTCTTCGACCGCGGAGTGAATTGCGGAGTCCATATGCGCATAATTCGGTATTTCTACCAGGTTTTGACCAGATACAGCTCTGTAAATACCCTCATGTCCTCCTTCACTGTTGTTTTACTTAACAGGAAATCCCCATCAGTTACTTGTACAGGGATAAGAACAACTCTTTTCATTCCGGCTTCCATTGTGTGAACCTCGCTTGGTCTATATTCGGCGAACTGAATCCGCAACTTCCCGTTTACCGTGCGGAACCACCCTTTTTCTATGTTGATCACGGCCTTTAATGGTTTTAAAAAATCTATCCCGATTAGCCCTTCAAAAAACTGGTGGAATCTGAAGAGTAGCATCCTTATCTCTCTTACTCCTACTTAAAAATCTTTATGAGATTGCTTACTCGTCTTAACCGCTATCGGGTCTTGTAGGTATTTCACGTATTGTAATTGGTTCAGCTCGGGACGTATAAACGAGAAAGTGGATCCTGTGTTATTCTTTCCGGTGTGATATTGATCAATACATAAGGTAGGGTTGAGTTGCCCCTTCTATTCCCCAAGTATCCTGTTGGTTGCTCGAGGCTGGTAACGGAAAATTGGCATCATCCTCTTGGATGTTATGAAACTGGCCACTGATTGACGACCGATTTTCACCCCTCTCTAAGTTACCAGCCGAATTATACGACTGCCTTGAGTTGACAGAGTTATTCGACTGCCTTGAATTTCCCAAGTTATACGATTGTCCTAGACATCCTTGTCTGACCACTGCCTTGCGTATCTCCCGCCGCATGGATTGATAGCTGACCCTCTCTGAAGGAGCAAATCCCGGAGGCGGAGTTCCGAAAGGTGGTCCATCTGGACACAAAGCCTTGGACGGTTGCCGATGGAGCCACAGTAAATGTGACTCTGGAGTGCGAGCCCAAGGTGCTTGATCTGCTGGAAGGATCTACGGGAGGATCTACGTAAAGTGGTTCTCCTATCGATGCAGAGCATAGGTGCGAACCTACGGGTGCCACAGGTGTGTTGGCTTCAACCACAAGGTGGCAGAGTGCAAACAGAAGGAGAATGTTTGCAGGCAATGCGGACAGACCGGCCACAGTGCGCGTGGCTGTGCGAACCCGGTGGACTGCCGGAATCGCCGCTTTTACGGGCACCCCTCGAGTCACAGCATGCTGTCCCCGAGCTGTCCGGTGTATGCGGCGGTGCTTGCAAGGGGTGAACGCTAGACATATGGCGTATGTGTGCGCGTAAAAGGGAGTTTTGGTTCCATCTTCCTTTGCTCCAGTTTGAAGCCGAGATAGAACCGTACCTCAGGTATATGGATGCGGTCCTGTTGCAGGCCAACAGAACCTCCGCAATCCTGGGAATTGGCGCGAACGCAGTGTCCCCCAAGTGGTTCAGCAAACTCCCTCGGAATCCCGGGGGAAACGCTAATCGTAGACGGGGTGAGCTGCTGTCTGAGTGGATGCTGGAAAATGGGACCGTTGCTCTCAACAAGCCTAGCCCGGTGTTCACGTGCACACGCAGTGATATCGACGTGACAGTTGCCAACGATGCAGCATCGATGTGGGCCCCATTCAGGTGGAGAGTGGACGAGTGGGAGTTGTGGGATCATAATGTGATCACAGTTGTGGCAAATCCAACTACCCCAAGTACAGTTGAGAGCTTAGCTCCTGTACCGTCCTGGAACTTTTCCAATGCTCGCTTTTTCAATGCTCGCGTCTACAAGATCTGCCGAAAACGCAGAAAGTGCACGGAGATTGGGTGCCTCCGCATTGATGGCGAGCTGGTCACCGATTGGGGTGACTGTGCGCGTGTGCTCCTCCGTAACTTTTTCCCAGTTGATTGCCGGAGCGGAGGAGCAGTTCTCTGATTAGCAGTTCTAGGGGGGCAGAGTCCCACCGGCCCTCGAGGAAGTAGAGGTTGATGCTTGTGTCGCCATGTTGAAGAGCAGACGCTCTCCCGGCATGGACGGCATCATAGGCACTATCTGTGCACTATCTGTATCGCTATATTCCCGTTGCATCCAGGTTACTTCCCCCGAGAGTCCACGTGTAGTGGAGCTGCTCAAGGGGCCCGATAAGGACAGGTGCGAGCGCAAACGTTAATAAGGCTGTTGTGTTCTAAGTCTAGAGTAGGTCCAACAAAGCAATCATTGCTCAGCTTGGAACTCTGATTAGCAGTTCTAGGGGGGCAGAGTTCACGGACAGAGTCAGACAAGATTGACAAGACTCATCCGTCATATTTGGGTTATATAAATGCAGCGGCATCCACATACGGCATCCAGACAAGATTCAAGAATAACAATATCTGGTTTTATAGTCCTTTATTCTTGCATGGATCTTGGAAGAACTGGGCTAACATGCCAACCATTATTTAGACCAGTTTGGAGCAGAAGACAAAATTCGTCAGCATGGCAGACGCAAAGGATGCACACGGAGGAGAGTTATACAACTTACTGCCGGCGCAGCAACTCCTTCCACAAATGGCATCGGATTGTTGCATACATACTTTACGCCTAGGCGAATTGAGCAATCATCCTGAAAACAGTTAAATCGGTAAAAAACAAAACATTTTCCCTTTTTTACTTTCTTCTATATAGCTGCTGCTGTTAGATTCAAACAATTATATCATTCCCAATTTTATTATTAATACTTCACAGGTTTGCGCATTTATGGTCTTTATGTTAATGCCTTTTCCAGCCTAGTAGCAACGTCAATTTTAAGGAAAACAAGCTTTCCGTGTATCAAAGACTTAATGTGCTTCCTTATGGATAGCTCCTTTTCCTTTATGAGACTCCGTGGCGCTATGTGATTAATTGTCAGGACGTTAAAAATTGGATTCACTTAAATTGAATTGGATATGTCAGAGAACCAATATGGACAAATTTCAACCTATGTCGCACGTCAAATCAGAGCCAATTGTTGATAAATTGGCTAAACTTTACAGTGAAATTGAATTTTTGATCATGCAAATGGCCGTTTACCACTGAATGCTGACATTATTAATTTCCTAAAAAAATTTAAAAATTCCAGCTCCACTTTTGACAGAAATTGCGTATGTGGTTCTTGTTACTCCGGCCACCCAAGTATAAGTTATCCAACCCCTAAATACAGGCCACTTATGGCTTTTATAAACAATATTTTCAATCTCTGCATTTGCCTTTGGCTAGATCTTTGGCTCAATTATCCAACCCATAAATCCAGGCCACTTATGGCTTTCCACTTATGAATTTTATTAACAATATTTCCAAACTCTGCATTTGCCTTCGGCTTTGTCTTTGGCTCTGAGGTCCGATCTCGGTTCCCCATAAAAAAATCAAAATCAAAAGTAAACATCAGCTTCCCTCCGAAGCCCAATCAATTACGCCTTTTGCGTTTCAAGTAGCCACCAAATTGCATCGATCAGCTTAATCGAATTTCACAATAAGATACGACATTTTCATCTTAAGCCTCTAATCTAAACACAACTGATGGCCAAGGTTCTTTGGATCAGATTTAGAATTAAGAAGTCAGTCCTTTTTTGACCGAGACCGCGAACGGTTGACAAAAAATATTTAGGAGAAATCAAAAGTGTCTTGTAATTGTTACGTTTAATAAATAAAGGTTTAACACCAAGTTGTATAATTAAAAAATAAAATTTACGTTTTTTTAATTCGCCGAACTACAAACAATTTAACTGGCGCCCAACGTGGGCCGCGTCACATAAAGCTCCGAAAAATTGTTTAACAAAAAAAAAAAAGTTAAACATAAACGGAACTCGCGCGGACAACAACTCAACATTTTTAGTGGAAAAATTAAAACATCCACCAAACGACACTACCAAGTGACAGTGATCGTTAACAACAAAGTAA